TGATATCAGTTAAAATGGGAACTTCAGAAATATTAAAATATGAACAGGAACTCACGAACAGAAAACAACTGGAACACAGGAACAATATCCAACACAAATACAGGAACAATAAACACAATGGGAACAAAAACACGGCAGAAACAACAGGAACAACGGTGATTCAAACAACAACAATACTAGAAACAACAAATGCAATGAAAACTGGTCTGGGGGTTAATACAACAAGATCTTTCAACAATATTGTCAGGTTGACAGTAAATATCAATGAGGAACTGTTTTCCATGGTGATTTCATTTCATCATTTTCATCGTTGCACCTCGAATATTATGAAGATACGGGGGTGTTTCCATAAGAAGTCAGACAAATTCGGATTTTTCAGGACTGAAATTTTTTCAGGAAAAAAGTGTATTCATAGTAAGTTGGTAGTCCTGATAACGAATCTGAAGGAATTTTGAGCCTATTTTGCCCCCTAATATGTTATGTTTTACCGTAAAAATGGGGTGTTCCATCGCGAGTGGCGGACAGTGTATATCACTTTGGCCCACCCCATTCAGGTGGTGGGTGCATTTTGAGCATTTTCATCAGTCCTGAGAGTTTCATCGTTCTACCTCGAATATTACGGAAGATAAGGGGCTGTTTCCATGAGAAGTGAGACACACTGTATTGTGGAGATGGGTAGGATGCCTTGGAATGGTTTCAGCCATGATTTCGCAGAATTCCGTTTTTCGATCAGGGTCATTTTCAGTTAATTGGTGTACCATTTTAATTTTGTATGGATGATACATATTCATCTTCAAAAGTCTCCACACATTAGAACGAGACACCTCACAAACATTCGCAACGGAATAAGTGTAAATTTGGATACAAGTTTCCTCAAATATTTTCTACAGATAGGACGATTCGGAAAACGTTCACTGAAAATCGTTTGGCTCTTGTGAAAGTTACGCGTCGCACCGTAAATAAAAATAGCTTCAATTTTTCTTCCAATGAACGAGAATTGACCATTTTAGAGATTGTTGACGTGGTACCTTTCTACTAGTAAAACCGAAAACTAAATGAGCATATTCTAACTGAACATTGATGTTCATTGTCGTACTGACATTTTTCGACGTTTTTATAAACAAAAAATAACTTAACAAACCTTATCGGGTTGTTGGAATTGCCATATGGCAGATAAAAAGGAATATTTCTAGAAATATCGGTATTAATGTGTTTGTCTTCAGGAAATTATTAAATGTTCCGCTATTTTGTAGTAGTTGAAGATATTAACATTATATTCTAGGGTTGTGAAGCATTTGTCAGGAGCTTCAAAAATATGAAAGACCCCTTTCCATTTAATGTTTTCCCCCAGTATTCATGCATTAATTTTATTATCCCAAATTTAAATTTTTTGAGTTGACCCGATCAAAAAATAAAAGGCGCGCGACATTAAATGCTATAATACCTCGAAAAATATTCGATTATACAGGGTCTTTCATTAGGCGCTTCCTATCTTTGGATTTAAATGAAACAAAAAAAATTTCTTTTCGTTTTAAATAGCTATTGATGCCATCTTGTGTGGAACATAACATCGTTCACATGTCCGCCACGGCTTCTCTTGGTGGGGCACATCCGAAACGTCCAATTTTTTATGGCTCAAACGCATGAATCAGGCTGAATTTGACCGATGACATGGGTTATGTTGGCTTTAAGTAAAAGGTGCACCAAACATCTTCTGCTGATACCAAATATCATCAAAATTTTCAATTGATATATCGTCTATTGCAACTTTCATAAATAATATTTGGTAGTAGGTACGTTACAGTATTCTTCATCATTCAAATATTTGTCATAGACTTACAAAAACAGAAACTTCAACTTTCTTGACAATATATGTCACGTGTAAGGTGTGGATCCCCATCAGCCCAAAAATTAGTATTATGACAATTGAATAATCCATTTTTGGTAAATGTAGCTTTATTACTTCATATATTTTTTTAGGAGATTAAAGATTTTCTGGTTTTTGTAATCAGCAACCATTCACAAAAGTCAATTCGACGATGATATTCAAATGTTTCCATTTATGCTAACTACACTGAAGTTATAACGGTCAAACAGATCCTGTCTCAGAGAAAGCTTTCGTCGAGGTGGGCATCCTGCTGTCCTGTACTGACGTGTAGTAATACTCCGGAGCCAGTTTGTAGGTGATCACTCTATTGACTTCACTGTGAGGAAATGTATGTCAGATATAATTCAATTAACTTTTTGATATTAGTTAGGAAAGTGCTGTGAAGGGGAGGCGTGAGTGTTTCGAAAATTATATACGTATGTTTCTTATCAACAATAAACCATTAGACCCATTTTGATTATACTGATTTTAAATTTCTCATGACTCCAATTATTGCCCTATCTACACTTGAACTTGATCATACACCTCACAATTGTCCTACAGAATCATTTTTCATGAACTTTTTATAAAGCGAACAAAGCCAAATTCATTAATGAGGATAATATATGTAATAGTATATTACGTACCGAGTAGGTTAAGAAGCCAATCACCCACAAGCGAAAAATTGTGAGCACGAGGCGTTAACCGAGTGCGATAATTCGCGACTGGATGTAATTGGCCTTATCCTCGAGGTGCGTACTATACTTTTTATACAATTGACCGTAAAAAGAAATGGTACAATATTTTTGTATAAGATCATAGCTTTGGATAATAAACTCATTCAGTCAATCAGTCAAAACTCAATTAAATGATTTAAAAATTGGTGACAATATTTCCTACAAATTATTTTATTAGGGTTCATTTTTGTTAAAAGTCTTTGCAAAATCTTCGAAATAAACGAAAAAAACGTTTTCTTAAAAACTAAGCTCACAAAATTTTCGAAATTATATCCGAATTTTTTTCTTAATTTTGCTGGCAGCAAATTATCCATCGCAATCTTTGCTTGCTCAGTAATGTCTGGTGGGGTAGCATGAATTTTTAGATCATTATCATTCATTTTGAATTTTGACGAGATACTGAAGACAGCTTATAATTAAAACAAGTGGTTGTTGAATCACGAACTAGATTTATTACCAACCCATAAACTGTTGAACAATAAATTTAATGGAAATATGATTTTTATTTCGATTTTACAGATAATTTTGAGAAAAAATGCACTGATTTTGGCTTTTGGACAATTTAAGGTACTCATGAGATAATAAGTATTTATCAGAGTGAATGTTACATATCTCATCCTTTTTTAAAATTTCCTACGAAAGTGGTCGCCATTAATTCAGAACACTTGTGTATTCTAAATGAGCCATCACCTATCTGCTGTCAAACAGGTAATGATTAGTTGAAAATGGAGGGGGTAGAAAAAATGTTTCTTTAAAAAATGTTCACTGTGTTGTTACCTTTAGATTCATTAACCCTGGTAGTTTATAGCAATAATAGCTCATTATTGTAAATTTGAACTCAAACATTTCGTTGAATTAATTTATTTAAAGTGTTGGTCACGTGGTGAAAATATCTTCAATATTTGTCATTCCATGATATTTATTGCCAAAACAGATTTAGTGGTATACATCATTTGGAACATCGAATTGAAGACCTGATTCAATTTTCAACTATTTGCAACAACTTCTAATGTTGCAACTTTTCCGTCAATTTATACCGGACTATTGGGAGAGAACTGGCGACCTGAAAAAATTGTCCTCTGCAATACCTACAGGTTGATTTAGAAAGTACATATTCCAAAAATGAAAACTTATCAATTTCCTCCTGTTAGGGTGACTTTCAATTTTGCAAAAATTATTCGAAAAAGATTTCGGTAGCACCAAAATGATGTATTCCAACTGATAGTCTTGGTCACAAGATCCTTTTTTTGAAAATTCTGTCCAAGGGCACCAACTTTTTAAAAAAATTCAAGAGGGCTCTAAAAAATTGCAAAAGTTATAAACAATTTAGTAAAAAATGGGGGTTTGGTTTTTTGCAAATATCTCGAAAAATATTAAAGATATCCGAAATTTGAAAAAAG